GGGCGGCGCAGCGCTGCTTCCCCGCGTCGCCGCAGCTGCTGCAATGCGCCATTTTCCGTCCCGCAGAGCCGGGCGCTGGGGGTAAGAGTTGGTAAGGGGTGCCCAGCCCCTCCACCAGAGTCCACTCACATTTTTCCGACAGAGGAAGTGGGGGTCTGTCCCCTCTCTGGAAGCTGCGGCGAGACACAGGCGGGAGACGATACACTCGAAGCAGACGGAACCGCCGAGCTCCGCCTCGCGTTGGGAAACCGGAGCTCTAGCTGCCGCTGAACTCAGCCGCCTCCCGGGCCTGGCTTTATTAGTGCTGGCCACGCCTCCTAAGTTACGTAACGACTTCGCCGTCCAAGCCACGCCCGGAATGGGCAGACAGCCAAGTCCGGAATCCCGGCGATCCTCGCCCCTGCAGTTGTGCCAATCACAGTTCTTTTCTCATTTCGACTCCGGAGAGGAGCGGTTGCGGCGAGGTCCCTTCAAGCGACCAATGCCACTATAGTTTGCTTACCTGGCTAGCTCAGGGGCGGGACAGGGTGCTAACCGACTAGCCTTCTAGGGGCGGCCCCGACAATTGATTTACCCAATCGCTGAGCAGTTCCTGCGTTCGGGCCCGCCCACCGCTGGCGGCTCCAGCCAATCACGCAGACAGCCACGCTAGGGGTCCGGGAGTCGGGTAGTTGGGTGTCCCGAGCCCGGCGCCCCACCCACATCGCCGGCGTCCGACCCAAGATTTCCTCCCATTTCTTCACCTTTTCCTCAGTAATTCGCGAGTCGATTTTTTCTTTCCTAATACGTAAGAATTTTCTTCCCTCTTCTCACAATTATCCCTTTCCCGAATATTAGTTGTAAAACGCACCATTATTTATGCCTTGTTTTTTTCAAAAGTGACGAATTGTGACTGTGCTGGCTCACCACTTAGAATTTTTATTTTACGTTTGTTGAAAGCATAGATTTATATGCGTAAACATTTTTATCATTTCACTCTTGTGCTTACATAAGAAAATTATTAGACTTACATGGTCGCCGTATGCCTACCGTTTCGTGTTCAGAGACGGATTTTTTTGTTTGTTTATTTTTGTTATTTTTAGACAGACTCTCACTATGTAGTTGAGACTGACCTGGAACTCACTATGTAGCCCAGGCTGGTCTTGAACTCACAGCGATCCTTCTGCCGCAGCCTCCCGAGTGCTGGGATTACAGGCGTGCACCACCACACCGGGTTGGAGACATTTTTAATGATTCCTTTCTGGACTAGGTGCTGGATGTTCGGAGTCCCAGTGCTGCGGTGCTGTGTTCACACCATCAAAGACTCCAGAGATACAGCGTCTCCCAAGAGTGCTCCTCTTCTGTCTCTGAAATTTTCTTCCAAGCCTCAGTCACCCCTTTTGCAAGTTTTGATAGTCTCGAACAGCTGTGACAAATCCAGCGACTGCTGACTAAGCCACAGGGAAACATCCCAGTTTGGGAGATGTTAGAATGCCAAAGTGGGGGTGTCTTAGAATCAATTAAGTATAGTAGTCTGCTTCCTGTTTTGCTGTTCCTCATATCCGTAAGAAGCCAACAGGATGACCTGTTCAAATATCACAACCCTGCTTAAACCCTAAACACTGCTTTTAAAGACACCCTGTACTGATCATGTATTTATCCTACCCACATCCTGATGACAATTTGTAAACACTGAAAACAACTTAGAAGCCCTTGCTGGCAGCAAGAATGGAGAAATGCTTCTGACTGTAGGAACACCCAAGTGTTCCCACCAGTTCTACCCTGGAAAATATTTAAATTGCTGAATTTTTAAAAATTATGTTTTAAACCTTTTAATTTTCAAATAAGTATAGATTCACATGAAGTGGCACAAAGAAAATTTCAGGAAGTTTCCCCTACACATTTCCCCCATTTCCCCCAGTAGTAACATTTTGTATAAACACAATGAAATATCAAACCAGGAAACTGATACTGATGCAATAGTTTATCCAGAACTCACTGGTTTTAGACAGTCGGTTGTGTTTGTGTATGTATAGTTTCATACAATTTAGCAGGTGTGTAGACTGTGTGAACTCACCACCACAATCAGGGTACAGAAGTATTACCACAGGGCTTTCTTTCTTTCTTTTTTTAATACCAGGGATCGAACTATGGTCCTTGTGCTTGTGAGGCAGGCAGCAGAACCACTGAGCTAAATCCCCAGCCAAACCACAGGGCTTTCTTGTGTGACTTTTTTTTTTTGGTACCTGTATCAAACTCAGGACCTTGCACTTGCAAGGCAGGCAGCAGAACCACTGGGCTAAATCCCTGGCCCATTGTGTGACTTTTCTGTAGCCATCCCTTCCCTAGCCCTGGCCATTAGCAATGCTACTTTCTTTCCTTCTCTGTAACTTTATGTCAAGTGTTATGTAAATGTATCATATAGTGTACAACCTTTTGAGATTGGCTATTTTTTTTCATTCAACATAATGCCCTTGAAAGCCAGGGAATGAACATGTGATTCTAGTGGTATCACGTCTGCCTGGCCTGTACAAGGTCCTGAGTTCAATTCCCTGTAAAAAAAAAAAAAAAAAAAAAAAAAAAAAAAAAAAAAAGAAGAAAAGAAAGCAAGCCAGCCAGCCAGGTGAGTGGCTCACACCTGTCATCCCACCACTCTGGGAGGCTGAGGCAGGGGGATCACAAGTGTGAGTCCTACCTGAGCAACTCAGCAATTTAGTGAGAGCCTGTCTCTAAATAAATACATACATAATGCTGGGGATGTAGCTCAGTAGCAAGGCCCTGGGTGGGGCTGGGGGACTTGAGATCCATCCAAGTTATTGTATCAATAGCTGAGTAATACTGTATTGCATAGTATGAATGTTGTTTAGTCATTTTTCAATTTAAGCTTTTAAAATTGTTTTGTCTATTTAGATCCTTTGCCTAAAAGGCCATTTTTTAAATGTAGTTATGATGCGTGAGGCGTGTAGCTCAGTGGCACCGCACCTGCTTGGTAAGTGCAACGTCCTGAGTTTGACTCCCAGTACCGGGGGAAAAAGAAGTAGTTATGAGCTGACAAGAAAGTAAACACTAGTGAAAGACCAATAATTCAGTGAAGGCTAAGCAGGGAGGTAACAAATAACTGAATCTGAGCATGGTGGCCTTAATGGGGTACTACTGTGGCATAGAAGACAAAGCCTAGGGCTCAAAGTAGCAAAACTAGCTGGGCTGGTGGCACACACTTGTCGTCCCAGCACACAGGAGGCTGAGGCTGGAGGTGCATCGCAAATGAGGCCAGCCTGGGCAATACAGTTCAAGGCCCAGTGAAGACCCTGTCTAAAAAAAAACAGTAGGAATCTAATAGAAAGACCCTACTATAGAGCTGGAATCCTGAAGGACTATTTCATCAAGTAAAAGTGGATGAAAAATATGCTGGCACCCAAACTGTCCCTAGGGAGCTGTATCATAATGATTAGTTGTTTGGGAGCCAGATACCTACTGGACCTTCTTAATTTTTTTCTTTTAAATATTTGCAGAGAATTTATAACCCCAAGCTATATTTTTTCTGCCTGAATCCTTTGTTTTATTCTTTTTCTTTTTCAAAAGCTTTGAGGATCTTCTCTTCTTCCTAAAAACAAAATGGCAAGAACTGAAAGTGTTTGGGGGTTGGCAGTCCCACCAAGCACCCAGCAGAAGCAATGTAAGTCCTCCTGGGAGGGATTCATCTTCAGTCTAGGCCCTGGGGAATTTCCATAGAGACAGTGCCAAGAGAAAGAAACTGATTCAACATGGCACACAAGAAAGGGACAAAGTACCAGAGTAAGTGCCAGTAGAGCAGAGACAGGAAATAATAAAGTTAGAAAATCAGGCCAAATATTCCAGTGTCTGATTAATAAAAGAACTAAAAGGAGAGAGCAGGTTATGTGAGGTAAAGAGAGATAAAATTATGTGTGGCTATGGTTGATTATATAGGAAATACAGGAAAGTCTCTTGAATTGACTGAACCTTTCCAGATTAGAATGTGTGGTGAGTGTCAGGCACAGTGAAAGAAAAATCACACCAAAACTCACCTTTCACTGTGTGTAGTGACCTTGTGGAATCCCTGGATTCAGTACCCAGCCCCCGCCCAAAAAAATACTGGAAAGAGATCCTAAAATATGTCAAAAAGAATAAAAAACAGAACAAGAATCAGAATATCATCTCAACACAAGATTAAAAGATAGAAGACAAGAGCCCGGTGTGGTGGTGCATACCTGTAATCCCAGCACTTGGGAGGCAGAGGCAGGAGGACTGCTGAGTTTGAGGCCAGCCTGAGCTCCATAATGAGTTCACAGCCAGCCTAAAATACAAAGTGAGACCCTGTCTCAAAAAAAAAAAGAAAAACAAAAAAATCTTGTGTAGTAAAAGAATGAAGACAATGTGGCGGTGCCTTTAAAACTCTGAAGAAAAAGATTAACAACCTAGATTTCTGGAATAGCCACACAGTAGCTCCACTAGCAGACACTCGTGGCTCTAGGTCTTTGTTTCTGCTTCATCTTCATCGGCCAGGAGAGCCCAGACTCCTTTAAATTGTTGTGGTGGCCCAAACCTGTACTGGAGCACTCTGGGAGGCTGAGGCAGGAGAACTACAAGCAACCCTGGGCATTTGGCAACTTAGTGAGACTGTCTCAAAAAGGACTGGTAGTTAAGTGTAAAGGCCTTAGGGTCGATCCCCAGTACCCCCCCCCAAACAAAATAAAAACACTCCTCTAAGAAAATCCAGGCCCTCCCTGCGGCGTTCCCGCCATCTTCAGCGCCAAAGGGTCTTCTCGGCCGGGCCCTCCCCTGCTGGCACCGCTGCTGCCATCTTCAGCACTAGAAAGGTAGCCGTGCGGGCACCCCTGAACTCCCCCGCAACCTTCTCCCTCACACTTTTATACCTCCTGATTGTACCAGTCTTTGGATCTACTCTGTAGAGGTAGAGGTGGTCATAAAGAGTATTTTCTGGCACTTTCAACTTTGAACATCTTTAAAGAAATGGTGGGGGAAACTTATAGTAGAACTGAGTGGAGTTCAACCCTTTAGGAGGTCGGGGAACTCAGTCTGGGCCTTGCAGCCCAAGCTCAGTCTGCTTTGTGGGGTTCTGCCACCAGCTAGCTGAGATCAGGGGACTCGGCTCTGCAAATGGCAGCACATATTGTATATTATGACAGTAGTGATATAGTCTGAAAGAGGCCCTTTAAACTCATTTTTGTTTTTTTTCATCCTACTCTGCAAATTTTTTTTTCTGTTTTTTCTCTAACTCAGTTCCTTACTCCACTATAGTATCCCTCATCTCTCTTTTTGTTTCTGCTCTTGTCCTAATTCATATTTCTTCTTTTATTATTTTTTTCTCTTTTCTTTATATTCTTTTCTTATGGTATTCTACCTCACTCAAGGGTTATTATATTTCTATTTTGTTTGTTCTTTTTGAATTTAACAATTTCCTGACGATTGGTCATTCTACGTCTTTTGGCTTCATATGAAACCTCTAATTCTAATTCTTATACTTAT